TCTTTTTACATTGAAAAGAATTTTATGAGTTTAAAATATTTTATTTAAAGGAATTAACCTGAAAGTGTTTTAAAATTTAGTTGTAATTGTGTTTTTGTCGTTTGACTAAACTCGTATATGGACTCAACCCACTTCCGTTTTGAGGAGCGCGAAAAAAACCAAAACAAAAACATGTTCAGTCTAGCAATGGCTGCATAAATGTTAAAAAAGGTTAACAAAGGATATTTTTAACACGAACACAGCGATAACGTAAGTCACCGAGCATTTGTGAACATTATTAGTACTAAAAACTGATATTTAGCTTGTTCATTACGTTCATGTTTTACAGGACTCTGTTATTTATTTGTTATATTTTGCTTTGATTTTTTTAATTACCCTTAAAACGAGGCACAAGTATCTGTAACAAAGCAATATTAACACAAATAATTTAAGCATTTTAATTTACACAAACAAGTTGCATGAGGGATTATTACTTCCTGTTTGCAGTGGTGATTGACAAGACAGATTACAGATGGTCTGTAGAGAGTAGGGGACAGGTGGAAGAGAGTCAGGAGAGGTGGAAGGATGCTCTGGAGAGAAGAGGGACGAAAGTCAGATGAAACACTGAAGACTGGATCCATTGAAAGTGAAGAAATCTAAATACCTGAAGCAAGAGAGGCAAAGCACCGAGTGCAGCAGGGTGGAGTTGTTTGAGATGAATGAGGTGATTAATGAGRCTGCCAGGGACGAAGAAAAGACCACAGAAGGTTCATGGATGTAATGAAGTATGCAAGGGTTGGTGTGACAGAAGAAAATGCTATGATCAAGTGAAGAAGATAAAGTGTTATCATGTACTTCCCAGTACACAGGGTTTGTTTTTTTAATTAACAGTAATATAAAATTAGTTTTTAATCAGTATCTCTTACAGATATTCTAAAGACAAAAATAGCATTCGTTACAGCAACTCCTCAGCTCAAAGGCTGTGTTTGTTTATTTGTATACCTGTGAGATTAAATTATGTAAACTGAAGTTTGTTGCTGTAGATATTTGCTTCTTTAAGGGTTGTCAGAATAGCTGAAGATTGCTCAAAAATGCTTTACGTGTAGGCGTTTATTAGCCCCTCAAGAATGAGCAGGTGGGGGGACCGGCTGAAGAAGATTGAGCAGCTTGCTCAGTCATTCCAGCAGCATCCCCTGACGACGCGCTACAAGCCTCGCCTTTGGCCATGCCAGCCCTCCTCTGTCTGGAAGCTCTTTCCTCGTCAAAACATGGCCATCAGTTTCACTCAAAGCTGCAAAGAGGTACAAACTATCTGCACTACCCGATAATTCTGTGTAGTTTACACCCTGAAGGTGGAAATGCTGACATTTGAGTTTTAAATATCTGTAGGCTGTGCACGTTTTTGCTCTTGAAAAAGAAAAGGCGTCGCTGGGCCAAAGGATCTACCTGGTTACCAGCTACAGCGAGCTGTGGCATTACTACAGGTCAATACCACATCTACCTTTTTTCTCCATACAAAGAGGAGTTCATGGACCTAAAGTTTGCATTTACCTTGCATCTTTTATGTTTTCCAGAACTTATCCTCAGTCCTTAATGCACTGTTATGAGGTGATCCCAGAGGGGGCTGTGTGTAAGATTTACTTTGACTTGGAGTTTCACAAACCTTCAAACAGAGGATCTGATGGGAAGTCTATGGTGTCTTTGCTTATTCAGGTAAAGAACATTGTCATTGTGATTTATATGTTTACATAAGTAAATGCTAATGATTGACCTGAAAAGTGGACCTTTTTTGTTGATTATGTTACCTAAAATAAAAAAAGTAGTTTTGTTTAGAAAAAAAGTAATTAAGAAGCTATAAAAAATGAATTGCATGTTACATTTGGAAACTGAAAACAAATATATCTTAACACCAGGATTTCTTGTGTTTACTATTGTTTCCCTGCCACGAAGGAGGATACAGAATAAATACTAATAATAATCTGCCTGTGTGTCGACAGTATGTTTGTGACAAGTTGATGGAAGTCTATGGGATTAAATGTTCGGCAAAAAATATCCTCAACCTTGACTCCAGCACAGAGGAGAAGTTCAGTCGACATCTCATCTTCATCCTGCAGAACGCTGCTTTCAAAGACAACATTCATGTTGGTATGTTTGGGCTTACTAAAAATGTTTTTTTTATTTATTTCATACACCAGTCATTTGTTTGCTCTGCCTGATATTTTTGTTGTTGTTTTATTAGGTAAGTTCATCCACGCTATTCTCCAACCAGTCATCAATAAAATCAAAAGTGACAGCGATCTAGAAAAAGAGAACAGTTCACCCACAGAAAACAATGAAAATAGGTTAGTTTTATTTGTCAAAAATAAAATTTTAAAGTATTATTATTATTTTTATCTTCTCTCAATACTTTGTGTAATTTTATGACGATACTGACAGAGAAGCAGTTGTCTCTGAGATGACCCCAGAGATGAAGAGGTTTAAGAGGGAAGAGAGAGACCTCAGCTTCCTTCTGGTGAAAAACAAAGATGGACAGAACTGTCTTTTTGTTGATCTCGGTAAGATCAACTAGTTTATTTATCATTTTAGCTTTTGCAGCTGAATAGATCACAAATGTTCAAGTCTGCCTGTCTCAAAGAAATAATCAAACCAATATGCACAAACAGGTGTCTACACCAAGAACAGAAATTTCCGGCTGTACAAGTCGTCCAAAGCGGGGAGGAATGCTGCGTTCACTGTCGCAGAAGACAATGAGTTCGTTCCCGAACCGGCAAGGAGAGTTTCTGCGGAGGAGAGTGTTTTCCTGGCATCTTTAGTGTGTAATGTCAGGTAGACGTGCGTCATTACCTCAGTCTGTTTTTGTTTTGGGAAGATTACTTTGAACCCAGCTCGTGTTCTTTTCTGCCAGTTTTACAGGTCAGAGGATTCTCACATGGGACGCCCCAGAGGTAAACCGACCTCAGACTGCAGCCCCGCAGTGTCAGCAGGGATCAGCTTCAAATCCAGGTAATACTTGTTCGTGCATGTGTGACGACTCAGTCTGCAGGCTGAGCGAGTACATCCTAAAAAGTAAAACTACACCTCTGATAAATTGATGTATAATAGATACTTGGTCAAAAAAAATTCTTTTGTTTTGTTTCAAACGTTTTTATCCTGGCAGATGGTTTATTTGAAACTTTAAACAACGGTGGAATTTCAAATAATTTAATTTGTGATGAGTTTTTTTTGTAGTTTGCGTGTATTTTGCGTATCGTGAATATTGTTTTGCATCGTTTTTATCTTAAAGTGCCTGTGACACGCCTATCCTTCAAATACAAAAAAGTCAAAGAAAACATCTTTTTTCTTAAGAAAATTGGCATAGTACACATGATTTTACACATTTTGTCAAGTAACTGGCCTATTTTCTTTTGAATTTGTCTCAGCCAAAGTGAAACAGGAAGTGACATCAAAGGGGAACTCATTAATAAAAAAAAACTTGCTGGTCTCTGTTTAATAAAACTAAATTATTTAAACTTTAACTCCGTCTCTCTTTGATAGGGACTCAAAATAATCTAAAGAAACATCAGATGCTTCTCTACAGTCTGTGTTGTTAGCTTTTGTTACAACGTTCTGCTCACATGCAGACTTTCCCCTTTGACATCACTTCCTGTTTCTTCACATGCAAATATCTCAACAACCGTTCATATCAGCGACATGAAATCTGTTTTGCAATATTTTATCAATGTCATCTTTCCAAAAATGCATTAATGTTTATTACAAAGATCTTTTGTTACAGGCACTTTAAAACATTTCTAAACTTTTTAATGGTTGTTTTCTGATAGACACGGTCTCTGGCTGTCAACTCTCTCCATATCAAGAAGTGGACAACTTTGTGTTAACTTTGGTCAGAAAGGATGGGATTCAAGGAAGTAAGTGTGGCGCTGTTTTTGATTCTATTACTTTATATACGGCTTAATAAAAAACTTAGTTTTACTTGAAAGCATTTTATTTGTACATTATCTGGTTAAAGTGGTTAAGAGTATTGCTTGAAGTTTAGTTCTGGATTTCCACATTTCGTAATTGTAGAACTCAATTTTCTTAAATTACAGTTTTAAAAGCTTCTTGGAAGTGAAAAGAACAGTTATTAATTTAATTAGGGCAGTGAAAGTCAGTACATTGTGTATTGAAATTAAAAGCAATATTATCCATTTTTACTGGTTAAGAAAAAATAAAATCACATAATGCATCAAAAAGATGAGACTTTGATTTAATATGTCCAAAAAGATTACACTGCTTTTTCTTAGCAACACAATTTGTTCATCAAACTATTTATTTATAAACTAACAACCTCATGAAAAGTTTTGAAGAAACTGTTTCATTGAATTAATTCAATAACATAATCTGAATATACCAAAATGTCACCCAGCTTGTCTTCTTGACACTGAGATTTGTACAATCAAGTTATTTATTGTTTTTAACAAAACCCAGATTCATGATTCAATCTGTTATTAGAAGCATTAAATGTTTACTCAGTCACTTTGTCATTTCAACTCGACAGACATCAGAAGGTGGAGCTACTTTGCTGCAGAGCAACTTCTCGTCTACGACATCAACAAATACCGCTGGTGTGAGAACGTGGGCAGGTTCCACAAGAGCAACAACATCATGTAGGTTCGACACTTCCTGTTCTGAAGGTCCGCCTGTGGGTTCAGATTCCTCCTGATTGGATCTCATCTTTGTCTTCAGGATCATTGTGGATTTTAAGGAGGAGGTTTGGTACCAGAAGTGTCATGACCCGGACTGCAGAAACTTTAGGTCCTCGAGTATGTTGTGACCCCAGATAACTTTTATAATTTGATTTGTTTAATTGCAAACAGATGGTAGTAAAACGGTCAACTCTTGCAGGTTATCCACTTCCAMGAGAGATCTGTGTCAGCTACATCCTGAGTCTGGTTCGTTCACTTTAACGTGCATCCTGGTTGATTAAAACGGCCAGAAACTGAGAACAAAGACATTTCTTTCCATGTGAAGCAATAAGTGATCACGTCTACCTGTTCACCGGCAGGATGAGGAAGATCAGGCGTACGTGATGGACGAAACGGGCAACTTTGAACCCAGCCAGACTCGGAACAACAGCGAGCGTCCGGCGGAGGAGGCGACTCCTGGTGCGTGGGGAGATGAGCGGGACGATCAGGCGTATTTAGAGAGCCTGAACGAGTTTGAAGAAAACAGCGGGGAGATCTCGGACCAGCTTCTGCTCACGTGCGTGGACGACGGCTGTTCCCAGTAGAGGAGTGGGCGACCTTTCTGTGTAGCAACAAAACGACTGGTAACACATTCCCACATTTATGGATTACAACTTTAATAACTGTGATGATGCACAAACAGAATTAACTAAGAATAAAAATGGATGAATACAGTAAATCATCCATTCTGTAGTCTGTTATTAGAACTAAGCTTGTGTAATATCARATACTTATTACATGTTTAAGCCTCACTACATAGACAATTCTTAAAACAAGAAAAAAATTGGACAAATAAGACAGACTTTGCAAAAAGTATTTTATTTGACAAAAAAAATCTTACATTTCAATAGAAACATCCTATCTGGTCTTTTAATCTAGTTTAAATTTTCAGGACCTTTTGATACAATTAGATGTAGCGAACAGCAGCTTCTCATGAACAGTAAAGCTGAATGTCTACAAAATCTTTTTTTCAGTCTCCTGATTTTGAAATGTGGCGGAGAAACCACTGAGCACCSGTTATCATATTTTACCTTGTCTGTGTCGTGTCATAAGGACCTTTTACCTCCTGAAATTAGTGATCAAGCACAGATTATACATCTCGACCTTACAGAAAACTGCCAGCTGTGCTGTGATACGTTACAAATTTATTTATTTAAACAAGACAGTTTAATGCCTGGGAGGTGTCAGCAACAGGCAGCCTACACACAGTTGAGTAGACGYAAATCTTCACAAACAGATCCCTTCTTCCTCCTTGTGTTTAAGTACAAAAGAACAACAGACTTGTGGATAATTTTCACAATGCAATGATTAAACTTAAAATTTAATGCAATAGTAACTTTAACATTGATTAGTACTTCTTTGACAACCTTAAACGGCACTAAAAAGAGGTTCCTGGATGTACAGCGTAGCTACATTCAATAATTTACATGCAATAAACAAAAACCAGCGAAATGCACTTGAACTCGAATAAAGTGTTAACTAAACTCTGGATTTAACAAGTCCATGAAGTCAGTCCTTTTTACCTTCAACACTGAGACACGTGGGAATGCAGGAGTTTAAAACTAGTCTCAGAAAAATAATCTGCATACAAATATCCTTTTACAGCACATACACTATTTACAGGTTTGAAGTTCACATTAAATATCAACCTTAATGGCTTACTAAATTGTTAAATAGCTTGGCATATAAATAGTTGATATTAGTCACTGTAAAAGCATTTTCCATCCATTTTTTGCTGCAGGAATATATATTAAAAAAAAAGCTAAAATATTTTCAGGAGCTTTGATTTTCTGAACATGAACCAGCTTTAATGGAAGTAAAGATGCGRCCCTACTTTGATTTAAAAACCCATTAATCCAAGATAAAACTGTACCATTAACTTTGTGTTAAAGTAATGAAAATAAATACMTAAACTGAGATCTTCAAACCTGCTTGTTTGAAACAGTTCCTACCTCATTACTTAACTGTAAATGACAGAAAAAATGTGACGAATCCTCTGGAGAASTGGTTTGGTTGGTTGGCCTTTCGTTAGTTCTCCAAGGTTCCAGCTCACATTTTAATTCTGGCATAAAGTTCATTGATTTGTTCTCGGAAGCGGCTCTGGAGCTCATTCCTCTTGGCCTTCAGGGTGGGGGTCAGCAGCCCGTTCTGGACAGAAAACATCTCCGGATGCAACGCAATATCTCTTACCTACAACGAGAAAAATAAATAAAAAGTGGAAAAGACACGAGTTTGTTATTTTCAGAAGCTAATTTTAGCCACCTTCATGTTAGCAGTGAAATGTGCGCTTTATCAGCCTCCAAAACTGAAAGTAAAACTTTACGTTTATTTACTGTCTGGGAYATAACACCAAGAAAACTCCACTGAAAAACGCTCTGTCTTCTTCCTAAAGAACATTTTTAATATTTCTGAGAAACACATATTTGCTGTCCAGTTTGAGATGTAGCTAAGATGCTAATGTCACAGTCATTAYTTGTCACAGCTGTGAAGTCATCACAGCTGGTTAAAAGTCAGACACATCACCTGCTCAAAAGACTTGAGTCCTGCCTCTTTGCCCAAATTCAGGATGTCCTCCAGAATGGCTGCTTTGATGTCCTAAAAAAATAAAACATAGATTCAGAAAGCTGTGAATCAAGCCTTGAGAGTTTAGCTCCAGTTTCAGATGATTGTTTTCAACAAACCCAACCTTGTTTTTGCACAGTTCAGAGTAGGATCCTTCGAAGCCGTTTTTCTTGGCCCAAATAGGCAGGAAGTCTGGATCRGGTACCACTATCCCCACCAGGCAGGCCTGGAATAGTACGTGTACGAGATAACGATGTAAATGCAACAAAATGTTTTCAGTATCAGTATTAATAGAGCTTGTGTTGATTTGGATGAATGRTTAACCTGTAAGCTGTCACCATGAACAAAAATCTGGGCCACTGGATCACTGCGGTTATAAACAGTCTCGATTTTCTCCGGGGCGATGTACTCTCCTTGTGCAAGCTTGAAAATGTGTTTCTTTCTGTCAATAATCTTCAGAACACCATTCTGTATGATAACAAACATAAAGAAGCAAAGCTATTAAAACTGAGACGAGGTGAAGATCAGACACTCAYGGCTCTGTTCTGCTTACAGGAAGCCACTTCCCGATGTCTCCTGTGTGCAGCCATCCATCCTTGTCGATCGCTTCTGCGGTTCTTTCAGGATCTTTCAAGTATCCCTTGAATACATTTGCCCCTTTGACACAAACCTAGAGTAAAACATGTGACTGATTAAAAAGTCAGGACCTAGTGATTGTTTCTGAAGGGAAACCAGAGCTCACCATATTCACTTTTTATTTTTTGTTGATTTTTGTTTACTTAACTCATTCTGTTGTTGCTTTTATTCAAATTACTAGTATATAAAAATAAAATATATAAATACAGACACCTTGAGAAGTTTAAAACCTATTGTAATTTTGAGGCAATTACATTTTGTATATATATATTTTATTAAAAGGATGACATTACATTTACGTTCTATGTTCACTGTTGTTCTTTTGGCTGCTCCCTTCGTCAGGGTTTGTCTCTGAGTTCAAACCTGCAGCTTCTTGTTTTATGTGCACTTGTATAAAAGCTTAGCTTTAATTAAAAACTATGTCCTAATGTGACGTTTTATTTTTTTCCATTAGGTTCTTTTTAATCTTACATTTTTTGTCAACTGTATTTAAAGAAAATTACAAAATAAAGATATAATGGTCTGTTTTCCAGTTAATGTTCATAATACAGTTTTTAAAAGTTGCTTACACGTTAAAATACATTTAACAGTTAGCAAAACACCCAGGTTGCAATACAATAAGCTGCTTTAAATGCAGAAATTCATTATAAAGTCACTATTTTGCCATTTCAAAATACTTCTTTTTCAAATGACCACATCACCAGGTGTGCAAACAGCTAATAAACATCTGATCAGTTATAACCTGAATGTATTCACAACAAAGATTTTTCCCACTTGTAAATAAGACATGAAATCTGACGCTCAGCCCGGTGAGCTGATGTTAAGTCATGCAAGAATGACTTTGTAACTGCAATAAAGCTGCTCACCTCTCCTTCTCCGTTTGCTGCCAGGTAATTCATTTCTGCAACATCCACCAGTTTGACTGCATTGCAGGGCAGAGGAGGCCCGACATGACCTGACAACATTCACTCTGTTTTAATGGTTTCTCACACACATTGTGTTACAACTTCATTTATTAAACATATTTAAGAGGTTTACCTGCTGACCAGTCTCCAGGCATCGACATGTTGCACCCAGCCGTACATTCAGTCTGACCGTAGCCTTCATAGAACTGGAACAAGGGTTGATGTTGGCAGTGAAAATCATGAAATAATTCACATTTAATATGACTGTCTTTCATCTGCAGCAGCACCTATAGTGATTAAAGTGACATGATTGTGTGATAAGTGTGATAAAGACTCACCTGGCAGCCGAGTGCAGCTCGTAGGAAAGTCAGGATGGTGGGAGACACGGGGGCTGCTCCAGTTATCATGAGTCTCACCCGACCTCCAAGACTCACCTGGAGAGATTTTAAAGACAAAGTGAAATGGCGACCTGCAAGGGATTATTCAGACCGTTTTTCTCTATAATCTGTAACGTTTCTGATGGATTATTCACAGCTGAGCCTGATTTTGCAATATCTTGTGAAGTCTGTCGTGAGCAGCGAATGGGCAAGTTTTACCTGGACTTTTTTAAAGATGAGTTTGTCCCACATGCTGTCCCTCCTGACCACTCCGTTTTTAAGCTCCGCCTCCTTTCTTCTGAAGGCAAAATCCAGCAGCCATCTTTTCAAAGGTGTGTTGGCCTGACTGAAAACCTGGAGAGAAGTTTAAAAAAAAAGAGCAAAACTTTAGCTGTTGCTCAAGTGGACATTTGAAACACTCTAAACCACAACACAAGTAAAGTGATGAAAGAAACTGGTTTAAAAAAAATCAAACTGGTTGCGCAGAAACTGACCTTGTCAAACATGCGGTTGAGGAGACGAGGGACGACAGGAAAGACTGTCGGCTGCAGAGTTTTCAGATCGTCCATCAGGAGTCGGATATCTCCCTGGAAGAAGCCTATACGTGCCCCGTGGATGAGGATGACACCCTGAAGATGAAAAGGCCAATTATTCCATTATAAAACAAAACTGTGACGGGTTGACCACAAGASGGCGCTGTTGCTCAATTATCATCTCCATTGTTATTCTAACAATTTATTCAAGTTATAGTTTGTTGTTGAAGTATTAAAAAACATACAGAAATTATTTAATTTCTCTATAAAATTTAAACCTATTTAAATATAGAGCCCTCTTTCACAGATATACCAAGCAAATRTTTAAAGAAACATTGTGGCATGCAGACACAACAAACCTAAAGTAAAAGCTTCAAAAAAATGTGTCACTATTCGATTCTAAATGAATTTTAACAGCAATAAAATCCTTTCTCTCAAACATTTAAAGGTAAATAAGTGCCACACATACCTGAACAACCCTCTCAAACATGTGAGCTAGGGGGAGATAGGATATGTGAATGTCATGGACGTTCAGCATGCTGTGCACCTGCAGGGGGGGACACAAAACACATGCATGTGTGCGAGTCAAGCACTCAGCCAGCGTACCTCCACCACCCTCTCAAACATGTGGGCCAGAGGGAGGAAGGAGATGAGCACATCTTTGGAGCTGGCCTTCAGTGTCTCCTGGACGACACAGGGCCAGAGAGGGGACGGGGCATGGGACAGGAAGTGGATCGATCAGATGCAGATAACATTTGTTTCATCAAAAGCTGAACGCAACTTCCTCAATAATAATAAAAAAATAATATTTTTTTTGTAAATTATTAAATTATGCTGTGTTCTGGGTTTCCCCATTTTGGTCCAGACTAAAAAAATAAATAAATAAAACAACCTTTGACACAATCTTGTTGTTTTTGTTTTAAGAGCCTGAAAAAAGATAAACAACATGCCTTCATTTGGCTAGCCATTAGCCTAACCTGGATGAAGACTTTTGCCTCTTKCTTCACACTTTGTGCTCTCTGACTGATGATTGATAAGGTACAAACTACTGATTAACTACTGGTTTAAAGAGCCTCAGGTTACAGTTAAAGTGAAAACATCACGGGTGTGTTCGTTTACCTTTGTTACTTGAATGAAAGCTGCAGTGTTGGAGACAACGTTCATRTGAGTGAGCATTGCACCTTTGGGGTTTCCTGAGTGAAAAATAAAATGAAATAAATTAAAAGAATAGGATAAAACAGAGACTGCAAACCTCCTTAAATATTAAAGTTAGTTCTGAACTTACCTGTGGTTCCTGAGGTAAAGCAGATAATTGCGAGATCATTTGGTTTGGGAGGCTGAAATTACATCAGATTACATGAATTCATAGCTATTTTGAAAATGTAAATTTCCCTTTAAAAAAACAAGGACTCMTCTTTTTCCTATAATCAGTTTAGATGATCTGTGCTGTTTCTACTCACCACTGGTTTCTGATGATTAGCTTTGCCCAAGGCCTGAAAAAACAAAAATAAAAACAATTTAATCAAAATTTTAAGATTTAAAACACTACAWGGGTTCAGAAAACATACGCTGTTTTTTTTTTTTCATAGAAAAGATGTAACACTTAGCAGGACAGAAATCGTTTAAAGCTAATCAGTAAAGAAAGGAGCTGTTAGTTGTTCTCACCTCAAATTCCTTCAGACTTATAATCTCAACACCACACTCTGTTCCTCGGGTCACCAGATCGCTGTCAAACTCCTCCATGATGACTATCGTCTTCACCGTTTTTCCTTTTCCGGTGATGCAGTCCAGGATCATGCGAGCCTTGTCAGCCACGTCACAGATCACCGTTGATATGGAGGCTGAACAAAGCAGACGACACCGGYAGAACCATTTACCTCCTCAGAATCTAAAGCTTTATTGTGGTGAAACCTTTCATACCTCTGTCGATAATGTAGCCGATGGCCTCTGTGCCGAGCGTGTCGTACAGCGGGACAGCCACCATGGAGTACGWGTAGCAGGCCAGCTCTGAAATAGTCCACTGTAGTGAAAACAGACCAAACAGGATGAGATTAAATGAATATAAACACAACACTGACGGATCTAATGATGTAAAACAGATTTTAGGAAAGATATTATACTCTATTTCTTTTTCTAACGATTTGTTTCTCTGTTTGTGTTAGCTTTTGAGACAAAAAGTGAACACACAGGTGGACATTAATTCATGATTATTGCACTTCTGAAGAAAACCAAATTTAAAACATCAGAACAAAAAGGGGTGTGCTTTTAATTTTTAAACACCGTTCCAGTCCATGACATGAAATCAAAGAAAACTTGTTTCCAGGTTACACATTTAAGTTTTAAAACTACGTAAAAGGTTGAAATTTCACAGTAAACCAGGAGTATTTGTCATGGATTTTTAAAGATACAAAAAAAGTGATGAAGATGGTGGCGTTTGAGTTACCTCTGGTCTGTTTTGTGAAAAAATGCCAACAAATTTGTCGCCTGTGGGGGAGTGYCCTTTGTGAAGAAGAGCCGATCCGACGTTCTCAGCACGGTCAGCCACCTAAACACAAAAATAAAACCTATTTTATAAAGTCCAACTCCGATAGTTATGCATTTACATCAGTTGTTAACATCTTACCTCTTGGTAAGTCTGCCACTCGTATGGCTGGTTTGGTTTCCTCGAYCCAAGACAAGGTCCATTATCTACCCAAAAAGTTTATTTTAATGAAATTCATTACCTCATAGGAGTTTATGATCTGATTTTTGATTGACTCACTTGATACTCTGAGTCCTCGTAGGAACACCTCGTATAATGTGCGAGCATCACTGTAATAATGTGTCATGAATTCGCTGTCGTTGTCATTCAGCACTGATCTTCTGGCACGCTCTCCTCCCTACAACAACAACAACAAGAAAATATGAAGAAACATCCACAATCTAACTGGTTGCTACACATCTGCACTTCATGATGCTGTAAACACAACTAAATGAAAGGTAGCTGTCAGCATGATTTACCCAAAAATACACAAAAAAAATGGATTTCCACATCAAATCTGTGTTTAGCTGTGAGAGAAAGGATTTTGTTTGTAAACAGGGAATGTGAATAATTAAGAGCTTTATTAAAGTGCCTGTGACATCAAATTTTTGCCATAAACTTGAATTCATTTTTGGAGAGACAACACTGATAACATAATGCAAATCAAATTTTGCGCCGCTGAGATGAACAGTTGTTCAGATATTTGCATGTAAATCAACAGGAAGTGATGTCAAAGGGGAATGTCTGCATGTGAGCAGAGCATTGATGAAATGTTTGACAACACAGACTGTAGAGAAGAATCTGATGTTGCTTTAGATTATTTTGTCATCAGAGAGATGAAGAGTCAAAGTTCAAACAATGTTTCAATAAACAAAGATCAGAGTGAGAGGGTTTTCTTTCTTAAAGAGTTTCCCTTTGATGTCACTTCCTGTTTCATTTTGGCTGAGCTAAATCCAAAAGAAAATATGCCATTTATATGATAAAATAGGTAAAATCATGTGTATTATGCCAAGTTTCTTAAATATAATAATGATTTATTCGACGTTTTGTATTTGAAGGATTTGCACGTCACAGGTTCTTTAAAGTTCAAGCAGAGGTCATATTTTGTAGAAATGAAACAAAAACAAAAATGTTACTGATGGAAAAAATAAAATAAAATAATAAACACTYACTGGTATTTCCAGTGACTGCAGTCCAAGATCACATGGTGGTTTGAGGGCTTTTGGTCGGGTGGCGAACCAGTATGTGGTGATGGCGGCGAAAGCGCCCATACCCATGATGGCGTTTGTTGGAAAGCCTCGAACRTACTGTCGAAAGTCATCCAGCTCGGGAATCCGCAGCTGTCTCAGGATGTCCTGAGCCTGCATGGCGGTCCTGCACTGAGCCTGTCCAAAACACACACACAGGAAAATACTGTTTGGAAACTTGGATCATTGTCTGGCTGTAGTTTCCAACGAGCTTCAGCTGTTGGACAGATGGCCTCGTGGTTTATGGTCGACCCAGGTCGAGGGCTGCTCAACAAGCCCACATCATCAGCACTCCACCACCGTGCTGCGCAGATRGTGTCGAGTGGTTTCGCTCTTCATCTGTAGCTGGATCTACATTTCATCTCAACTTTAGTCTGGCTCAAGAACATTATTCCAAAGTCTCAGATGCTACTTCGCAAACATAAACTGTGCTGCTGTGTTTGTTTTAAAAGGGAGACACCTTTTCCAGGTAATTTCTCTGTAACACACTCCTTTCATCTTCAGAGTTTTTCYTATCTGCAGTCATAAACTTTAATATTTACCTTGCTCACAAAGGCCTGCAGCCTGGGTTTGTGCTGCATGTTTTGRCATTATTATAAACTAGCTGTGACGTCCTGCAGCTGACTGCAACACAAACTCTTAAGTTCCATGAAAGCAACGAGGATGTTTTCCAACACAACACCTCTGTATTTTAAATTAGATTTGATTAATTGTCTATAAATAAGGACAAGGTGTAATTTGTGTGACAGATAATAGACTGTATCTACATGTTCTCGTTACCTTAACAATTTAGCATTTTGTCGAACACAGTTTTTGCCTGTCTAAAAATTGATGTTCCTTTTGATACWTGAATGGAAGTAAAAAAAAWWWWAAWAATCACRTTGTGTTGTTTTTATTTTGGTTTCTACCTTCTAAAGAGTTCACCACAGCGAGTTAACTTGSTGAAAAGATTTGGTAGTACTTCAGTCATATGGACTTTATTGGTCTGGTTTTGTTTTGGTTGCATGCATGAAGGTGCAAATTGCTGAAACTGTCTGGGGATTAGATTTAAACTTGCTTTGTAAGTTTCAAAAAGTGGGAATCTGACACCTTATCCTCTGTTTATTTTTTTTCTCAGTTCTTCCCTCACCTTCCTTTCAAACCATGCCTTCTCTGTCCAAAATAATTGCATGTAACCAAAACCTTCTCTTATGTGGATCAGGATAAAGACTATAATGACCCTCAAAAGGGAGGGGAAGGAGAGTGGTTTTGTACATGAATTCAGCTCTTTCAAATTAAACAGAACAATTCACTGCAGCTTTAAACTCTGCACTTCACAATCTTCAAGAAACAGGAGGAAACGAAGGATTGTCCTGGGCAACCATTACACCAACATRAACATAAACGGTTGAGAGGGATGTCACTGAAAGTAACCTAGTTGACCTTTTTACAAATCTTGTACACAAAAAGGAAGGTGTGYTGTCCAATTCAACAGCTGTGCTCTTGGGTGGAAAAAAAAGACACAGGAAGGAAATTTGAGCCACATTTTCTAATGACAAGTCTCAACGGAGAAATTACCCAGAGATGCTGAAAGACTTGGTTCTGAAGGAAGCTTTCTGCTCTGAATTTTTTGGAGATGAGACCAATGGGCTGAAACCTCAGTTTTCCAAACGGTCTGCTCTGCTGAAATTTTAATATCCCAATCAGATCAGACAGGCCAGAATTAGCTGCTCTAGTTCCAGCCTGATTATTCATTAAACTGGGCTTCTGGCGAGCCTAAAGGAGGGAAGATTTATTCCAAAAATCACTTTTAYGGCTAGTATTACTTTTTAAACTAATGCAATCTCAAAATACTACAAAACTAATGAATAAAAATAAGCAAGATTTAGTTTGCAGTTTTTTTTCAGCCTGGCAGGTCATTCAAGTCAACTCATTTGACCTCTGGATTGAAAATGAATGGTCACAGCTAGTTTGACTTCTCACCTACTTCTATGATTAACACAARGCCCATGACAAAATGGGACCAACACCAACTGGGACAAGGTACTTTTTAAAAAAGCTGAAAAATATAAATAATGAGTTTGCTGTTCATTTAAATTGAATAAACCACAAAGTGCAGAGATGACTCATTAAAGCTGACAATCGATTCGGCTCATCATTTCAGAGGGAAAAAAAAAATCCAGAATAAGAGAAATTGATGCTTCTGTCACATTACACCTGTTACTATTAGAGGAAACCAGCGATCACGCCACCTCCGAGTCAACCCGAGGCCAATTTAAAATGCAGCTAGAYACATTTTCAGACAGATCAACCACATATAGATCCAATACTCACAGTTTTACAGTGCGAATGTAGAATGAAGAAAAGGTCTAGACTGTGTCCGGGGGGGAGAGAGGTGCAGATAAGTGAAAGGCCTGTCAGTGCTGCAGTTGCTATTAGAAGGACTTCCACACTGACCTCTAATAGACCTCTGAAGTTCTCACAACTATGTATAGCAAAAACACGCCCCTTCTCAAACAGAAACACGGACGCGAGACACTTCACGTCACTCCCTGGTCAGAGTGACACAGAGGGACATATGGTGCAGCCAGCATGACCAAAAACCACTGTTTTCTGTCGGGACATCGTGTGTGTTTAATCAAGCTTCAAAGCAACTGTGACCCTTTTTTTTTTCTTTGCCGATGTTTGTTTGAGTCCACAGCCAATATCTTATCATACTATCTGGTTACAGAGTGTGGACTTCTCACGTTGTTGAGCATTCAAACAACTAAAACTTGTCCAAAAGATAAAGCCTGATTATAACCCGTTTTTCTACCTGGGAGAGGTCTTAAATGTGTGTTATTTCCAACCAGTTGGATTTTTATTTACTAACACTTATAAAACCATGTTTAATTCTCATCAAGAGGAAATGTGTTTTTTTGGGTGGCACTGCAGTGGGGTTAACTGGGAAGTTTAAATTGAAAATGTGTGTATGTGTGTGAGAATGAACGGTTGTGTGTCTCGTTTGTTTCTGTGTGTTCTGGACTGGTGACCCCTCCAGGGTGTACCCCACCTTTCACCCAATGACCGCTGGAGATAACCAGCTCCTGGAAAGTGGGTTAAAGAAAATGGACTGATTTAATTTCTTTCCTTATCAAGAAAGGGGACATTGCTCGTTAATCAACACGAGTACTTTAGTTAATCATTATGTGTCAGACTTAAAGCATATGGGCTCATTTTTATTTGCAATCTAACAGGTTGATGGTTAAAAGCTAAAAAAAAAAAATGAATAAGCAACACGATTCATATTTTACAATCTTCATTTATGTGGCACGTAGACGAGTTTTGGTGTTGTTCATGTTCTGAATGTGCAATGAACACACTTTAAAGAACCAAACTCAACAGTCTGCTCACTGATGGCAAAGCAGATGGTGACGTAAACCCCCAACGGGCCACTGGATGCACTGAGAAATACCAGTGTGATAAAACTTTGTACCATGTTTGATGCAGCCAAACTGTAAAATAGCAACAGAATCCAAAATTTATTAACTTTTTTTTAATACATTTTCTTTACATAGTTGCTCAGGAATATTTCATTTCAGGTTTAATCCTCACAGCATGCTAGGTTTGCCTATTTGAGTTACCCTAGCCCTAACCAGTTTTTGCTGAAACAACTACATTTTAATTTCCCCCACAGTTTAATGTTAGTCACAACCACATATAATCACATCATGTACACTGGTCTTAAAAGACAACGTTGCTAAAAAATGTCTCTGATCTCAGACCAATTTACTTAAACTGATCCAACATGCAAATGGAAAAGAAATAAACTGAAACTGCAAATTGTCACAAATTTGAACCTGATGCTCTCTCAAATGTCTTGTTTTGTCTGAGAAAGACATTTATTTTGTGTTAAAAGAAGCACAATTTCTTCCACTTCTGAATAGATGTTAAAAGGCTTGTCTGTTTTAATAACTTTCCCAAATCAGTTCGATATTACGTCTGAATAAATATGTTGAGACAGATTAAAATGACCAGACGTGAYCTCTTCATTTATTTCCTGTCTACTTAACAAACCAACTGGCTGAATGGTGGTGAAATGTGGTGTATCAGACCCACTCTGTAGTTCTATAGTCGGCTTTTTTGTGCCAGACTTGGCTAATAGTTGTTTGGAGGCAAAAGGTATTCCTAAAACCCACCCACTAACTACCACCTCCACTCACCATACTTGGCCTGAGAGGGTGACAAGCCAATGGCAGAGCAAGTTCACGAGTCACCCCACACCCATGAACACATGCACAAGACACTGGGGAGGGGGGCGGAGAAGTAAGGGAGGGCAGCAGGGTCATCTCGACACATCACAAAATATGAAGACAAACTGGTAGTAGCCTGCAGCAACGGTTTTATGCAACCTGAAAGTTACTGCCATTAAACACAGCTTATAATCATAATGTAACTTATTCTGTTCGGAAGACTCTGCTGGTAAAACTCTAATAATTTCATTTTGATAAACTTGCAAAAAAGTAATCAACTGAGAAGTATATACATTTGCCAAGGTTTGATTGATTAGGCACCAGAAGGAGACAGAAAGTGACCTCACAATTCTGTAATCACAGTGGGACATTCAGTAAACATGCCACATCAGATTCACAGGTATTGCAACACGCTGCGCTGGCTGAGCAAACTTTTACAATCTTTCACTTCACTTTATAGAGAAGTAGAAACATAAGTGACCATGTTGGATCTACTGGGGCGGGTTAAACACCATCTTGACAATTTAATAGTTTTACAAACAGTTCAACGTGCCCTGACGGATCAAATCCAATACAATGAGTCAATATTACCCAGTTTAGTTTTCTGTGGACAGAGCTTCAAGGCAACTGAAACCAGTTTAGCTTGTTTTCAACGCTGCAAATTGTATAAAAGTGTCTGAACAGAAGCTGAATCCGACAGCAGCGACAAGTCGCAGAGGAGGAGGCCATGTGTTGCTGCGCGGCTGCTGTAGAAGCGCATGTGGTTTCAGTGTGACGTGTCACTCGTGCTCCGAGACTCTCAGCCCAACTCGTGTCCATCCCCCTGTCGCATTCTCAGCCGTGACTTCAGAGAGCCAATGGCTGACCCCCGTGCAAGAGAGCCACTCTAAAAGCGAGACGGCTCCCACACCTCTAATGAAACCTTACACTCTTGGTCACATGCCACGCAACGGAAAAAATGTATAAAGGAGAGAGAGGGAGAGAGGGGGGAGGGTGGGCTCTGTAAAGTGGAACAAAGGTCACGCCACAAGATACTGAAACAACCTTCACAATGCAGGTCAAAGACAGAATATTATATATCTTAAATTAATATAAACTGAAGTCATAGATTATCAGCCACTATTAGTTTGCATAAAATCAGATAAGACTCTTGTCTGAGACTCCATCATGATAAAACCAGTGATTGTGGAATGAGCAGGAAACAATTACTGAAGCCCAGTTTAGAGCCCCTGACACTCCTTTGACACTTTTACAAAGCGAACTGTCAGAGTTTAGTGTTTCTGTTTGTTTGTTATGTCAACATTATCAACTGTTGTCACCTGGACTGAGCTGGTGCTGAGGGTAAAAAAAAAAGAAGAAGCATCAAACATTTAAATGAAACATTGATCAAATCTGCCAGCTAGATTCATTTCATGATGGTCACCTGTGTTTATTATGTCACCTTACTAATCTCACCCACACCTGGGGACATTTTGCCAATAAACCCAACATGCATGTTTTTGGTGTGTTGGAGGAAACTTGTGACCTTCACGCTGATAGGCGACAGCTCTAACCACTGCGACGCCCAATTTTTTTWTCAAGCCCAAGTTGTAATTTGCCGCTCTCACATGATTCTTCCAAGTTTCCCTGAAATAGATGAGACATCCGTAGGAGTTTGTTGAAAAGACATTATGAAGTCCATATCTATGGCCTGAAATCACCGTTTTAAAAAAGGACACATATACGAGCTGATTGTTTTGCAAACACCAGTTCTTTTTGCCTGTTATCTGCCCCAAAGGAAAACACATGATTGGATCTGCATTATCATTTTATTGTCTGCTAACTGCAGTTTACCTAACTGCACTAGTAAGTAAGTAAGTAAGTAAGTAAGTAAGTAAGTAAGTAAGTAAGTAAGTAAGTAAGT